AACAGCAACATTTGGGAGTTACCTTACGAGAAAAGTGACATTCTTCCCGCTCTAGGATTGAGTTATCATTATCTTCCAGCTAAGTTAAAACGATGCTTTATTTATTGTTCAATTTTGCCGAAGGACTATGAATTCAAGGTAGAAGATGTTGTTTTTCTTTGGATGGGAGAAGGTTTAATTCCCCAAACTAAGAATGGGGAAATAATGGAAGAGGTGACTAAGGAATATTTTGATGAGCTATTGTCCCGATCATTGTTTCAAAAGTCGGGGAAATCAAGTTTCACTATGCATGATCTCATCAATGACTTGGCTGTGTTCATGTCTAAAGGATGTTGTTCTAGGTGGGAAGGAAGGGAATCTCATGAAGTAGAAAGAGTTCGCCATTTGTCATATGCTAGGGGAAAATTTGATGTTGCTCCTAAATTTGAGCCATTAAAGGGGGCTAAGTGTTTGCGGACCTTCCTACCTACCTCTTTAAATACTTATCAAGAGTATTATCTAAGTAAACAGTTTGTACAAGATTTGTTGCCGTCACACAGATGTTTACGGGTGTTATCATTGTCAGGTTACAGGAATGTCACTGATTTACCTGATTCTATTAAAAATCTCATTCACTTACGCTATTTGGATCTCTCCTATACTGCAATTAAAAGGTTACCTGGTGTACTTTGCAGTTTGTACAATTTGCAGACGTTACTATTGTCAAATTGTTCCTCTCTCGTTGAATTACCTGCAGACTTGAGAAAATTGATAAATTTACAGAAATTAATGCTAGGAGGTTGTGCGTCTCTTGCTAAATTGCCTGTAGACATGTGGGAATTAATTAGTTTGCATCATCTTGATGTGAGTGAAACTAAAATTACAAAGATGCCAGCGCAAATGAGTAGACTAAAAAGTTTGAGAACGTTGACTACTTTTGTTGTGGGGAAATCTACTGGGTCCACCATTGGGGAATTGGGGGAGCTTCCACATCTTCGAGGAAAACTTTCAATTCTAAAATTGCAAAATGTAGTTGATGCTAAGGATGCCGTGCAAGCCAATTTGAAGAATAAGAAGGATCTGAAGGAGTTAGAGTTTGGATGGGGCGATGAAGACTTGGATGATTCCGAAAAAGTGAGAGATGTACTTGACAAGCTCCAGCCTTCAATTAGTTTGGAGAAACTGACCATTGAATTTTACGGTGGAACCAACTTCCCGAATTGGTTAGGAGACTCATCCTTCTCTAACATACAAGTCATGCGTCTTAGCGATTGTAAATATTGTTGGTCGTTGCCGCCAGTTGGGGGGCTACCATCTCTCAAAGAGCTCTATATAGAAAGGATGAAATTTGTTAAGACAATTGGTGTTGAGTTCTATGGCAGAAATGGAGCGTCTCTAATTCAGCCATTTCAATCACTGGAGAAGTTGGAGTTTAGTTGGATGGCAGAGTGGGAGGAATGGCTACCAAGTGGAAGTGGAGGTCTAGACTTTCCTCGTCTCCAAGAGTTGAGTTTAAGTTGGTGTCCGAAGCTGACAGGAAGCTTGCCTTGTGATCTGCCTTGCTTGAAGAAGCTTAGCGTGTCTTGGTGTGGGGTTTTACATGATCAAAGCCCCACTGCTACTACTAATACTAGTACTAGTCTTAACTACACATCTCTTGAAGAATTGAAAATAGAATTATTTGAAGAATACCAAACAGGTCTGTTATCTTTACTAGAGACAAAGCTCTTGTCCCGACTTGAGATTTTCAATTTTATTGACATACAGTGCTTGCCCAACATCAATCGTCTTCAAAGTTTGACTCTCTGGAATTGTCAAAGGTTGTCGTCGTTCCTTGAAAATGGCCTACCCACTTCGTTGACATCAGTTTCTCTATGGAATTGTAAGAGATTAGAATTCCTACCTCATGAGATGTTGGCCAAATTGACATCACTTACTATATACAACTGTAGGAGATTAGAATTCCTACCTCATGAGATGTCAGCCAAATTGACATCACTAGAGTTTTTGTCGATAGATAATACCTGTGATTCAATGAGGTCCTTCCCATTGGGCATTTTTCCCAAATTGACGACACTTATGATTGGGAATTGTGAGAATCTGGAATCACTTTGCTTGATTGAAGAAGGAGCGGTTCAGAATCTCAGTCATCTCAATACCTTGGAGATCTCAGGCTGTCCAAATCTGGTGTGTTTTCCCCAGGGAGGATTGCCCACTCCCAACCTGACTTCGATGCAAGTTGGTGAATGCGACAAGTTGAAGTCATTACCTGAACGCATTCACACCCTCACAGCCCTTAGAGATTTGAGTATAAGCAATCTTCCAAATCTGGAGTCAATTGCAGAAGATGGGGGTTTGCCTCCCAACCTCCGATATTTTTACATTCATAATTGTGAGAGACTGAGTCCTTCATCTTCATCAGTGGGAGACTACTATAATTGGGGTTTGCAAGCACTAGAAGAATTTAGAATTGGTGGTAGGGGAAGTGATGAAATCTTGGAAACGTTGCTCAAGCAACAGCTGCTCCCTACCACTCTTCACACTCTCAGCATCGAGGAACTTCCAACTCTGAAATCTTTGGATGGAAAGGGACTTGCACACCTTACTTTTCTTCGAAGTCTATCTATTACTAGGTGTAAAAGTCTGGAATTCCTGCCAGGAGAGGCACTTCAACACCTCACTTCTCTTCAAGACCTACATATTAGTCGGTGTGACAGTATCCAATTCCTGCCAGAAGAGGGTCTGCCGCCATCTCTTTCTTATCTGAGCATCTACAATTGTTCTGCCCTGGAGAAAAGGTATCAGAATAAGACGGGACGAGATCATTGGGCCAGCATATCTCACATTCCCAGCATCCGAATAAATGATGAAGTCATCATCATATGATATGAGCTCTCTCTCTCTCTCTCTCTCTCTCTCTCTCTCTCTCTCTCTCACATAGAGAAACAAAGTATTCTAGTGCGTTTCGATATCTCACTCTCAACTCTCAAATCAAACTCAGGTCAGGTATCTACTTCAAATAACCGCTGTAACTGCTATTCTTCTAATTCATTACAAAAACTGAATTTCACTGTCCAAATAAACCGAAATAATAAACATTTAAAACTATTTTTATGTCCACAAATTTGCCAAAATACATAGCATTTTGATCGAATGCTTCTTCCCAGATCATGCTTTCTGTTGTTCAGCATTTTATTTATTTATAATTCATATTCATTTTTGGCTTATAACCACACTGTAGGCATACTCTGTCAATATCGAATCTTCAGTTACTATTGAGCAAGAAAACATTTCAAGCTCAATTTTGTTTTTTTAATTGTATGCATTCAGGAGATTGAAGCTCGCATTCCCATATTGGGTTAAATAATTTCAGCCATCGGATCAAAATTTTATACTCACAGCTTTTTGTTTGTCACTGCTTCTTACTGGTCTCATGCTATTTTCAGATCAAAATCATTTTCCTGAAAAACACACAAAACTCAATCTGATTTCTATTATTATTTTGCTCAGTAAATTCTCTCCTTCTATTTACTCAATTTCTTCGAAACTTATATCCTATAGTAAGTCTCAAATGTTGAATAATTAATACTCTTTTTGCAGGACAGCACCTTCTCTTGGAAAGCTTTTCATTTGCAAGGTTCCTTTACGTGTCATTTCCAGGGAAGGGTTTACCATTGTTCATAGACTTTTGTTTTTCTACAAAAGCAATTGTCACAACGAGGGGAGACGGAAAGGTTCACCTGGAGTATCTGGCTTGACACATTCCTACAGACAGGCATCAAATGTCCCAAATTTTTAGGTACTCTTTCATAATAAAAATGTATTCAATGTCTATGGAAAACTTGTGAGCTTAAGTTGTAAGATAAAAGCGGCAGTATATTATTGTTGTCATCTTGTTGAAGATGTGAGCATGATATTTATCATTCATATTGTTCCAGTGCCCAGGTAATGCATTGGGAATTTTAATAGGTTCATGCCATTAATTTATCTTTGGAATTTCCCAGGTAAATGCATGTATGTTATAAACATTGTGTCTTTAGTAAGGTATATTGTCTTAGTATCAACCGGTGGTCTTTGGTTGAGGAGAGAGATCATTCATCAATTACAAAATTTTCTTAGTGAATTAAGCTTGTTTAAGCTTTTTTTGTTATCTATCTCCTTTTCTCTGGTTTTAGATTTGTTCATGTTATAAATGTTAGGATGTTTAATTTCTCTCCTTTCTCTGTGTTTAAATTGTCTTAGTGCTACTGTATTTAAATTTCGTTCATGTATTGTTAGGATGTTTAATCTCTGTTTTTTTTTTCATGGTGGGGGGAGGGGGAGGGGGAGACAACAAAATAAAATTTAAAATCTCAGAGAATCAAACTTGCAGATTAATTTCTGAATAGTTCAATGTATTTCATGGTGCTAAATTTTATTTTTATTTTTCCGACATTGAATATTTGAAGAATATATGCATTATTTTTGTCATCTCTAGTGCACAACCTCTAAGACATGTTTTCGACGTTTGTAAGATTGTTCTTCTATTTGTTGTACTTTCTAAATATAAAAATCTGTAGTAACAAAAACAATTTCTTACCAAAAGGTTTCGTTCAACTGAAAAGATTGACATAGGAAATTTATTCAAGTGCTGCTTCATTACCTAGTAGCTTTATCTGTATGATTGTGTAGATATGCATATAATATCTTATCTGCAAATGATTTTTTTTTTTCCGTCCCACAAATCATTCCTTCAGCTACAAATTTCTATTTGAGGAGACTTGAAATGTTGGATGTGCACTTGCAGACTTGAGAAACTTTCCCATGTTTGGAGATCAAAGCAACTTGTGTAGGCAACCATGCATGCATGATTTCAGAGTCGGGGCTGATGCTGTTATCATAGATTTCACCTGAGCTGCTTCACTGTAAATGCCTTTCTGTGCTCGCTTCTTCTGTAAGGGTCTACCAGATTAGTTTGTCAGCAAGATTTAATGTGGTTCACTTTTTTGTTGCTTTCCTATTACCATCAATTTTCTTATTCCAAATTGGATTGTAGGATCAAACCAAGCAGGTTCATACATTGCATGCATCATGTCATCAGCATTTCAGACAGAAAATGGGCCTTGAATTGTCTTCTGAGCCAACGGATTTTTCTAGAATCTAAAGTGCAGTGGAAAATTACTGACTTGATCTACAAAGAGAACATTTTTTCTGTTGGATGCTCAAAGTTCCTCTTATAAGTGGCTAAGTTGCAATATGTGGTGTCATCAAATGCTCTGCAAAGAGGTAAGTAATCAAGTAACTTACGCTTTTAATTATTTGATGGGTATGTTATCTCAGTGCTTGTAATATGTAGTCGTCATACTCATTTATGGGATATGAATCATACATTTTGTGCTTTTGAACACTCAAATGGAGATAGATTATTTGTCTGTGGATGCCACTGGTTAATATTGTCATATCACTGGTTATTTATTGTATTTGAACAGTCAATTGAGATGGATTGTTTTGTCTGTGTTATTTGTTGTCATGTCCTTTGCTTCATTTCTGGTGGTTGCTTATTTAAATCTGTTCTTCAGCAGTTCAAGTTGAGACTGGAGTTGAACAAGGATTAGGTCAGCTGTATATTTCGCTTTAAACACCTCTTTCTATACACATTTCTGACTGTCTACATAGATTAATTTATCAGCATGATTCTGTGGTGCATTTAGAACCTAAACATAAAGAATAAATTCCTGTTGTTATCAATTTGTTGATTCGAATTTGGACTTCTAGGAACAGACCCAGCATGTTCATACATGGCATGGCTCACTTCATCATCTTTTCAGACAGAAAATCAGCCTTCAACAGTCTGCTGATTCAATAGACTTTTCTACATATCTCAAGTGCAATGGAAAATTGCAGACTTGCATAAAGATTCGCAAAGATTTCTGTTTGAAATTTTCTACTGGAGGCTGGAAATGCTTCTTATAAGTGGCTAAGTTGCAAAAATTTTAGGATTGAAGGCTCTGCAGACTGCACAGAGGTAAGAAAGTCATCGTCAAGTAACTTTTTATTTTCAAGTTATATGCTTCTTATATGTAATTATAAGTTTATCTGCACTCCAAGGCTAACCAGTTAATAAATCAATATGGTGCTAGCTACTCGTTTAGAGTCTAAACCCAGTCAACAGCGTGGCCTGATGAACCAAAATTGGATAGTCATCTAACTTCGATCAAATAAAGACGAATGCAGTACTTTCGATAAATAATGAACAAAATACACATTTATCCTTGAACAGTTCCACGTTAACTCCTAAATGGCTGCATCTTAGAAGAATGACACTGAATCTGTATAGCTCATCTTCAATCTAAAGATTAAAAGTCACATGAAAAAGTGTTGTATTCTTTTGTCCTCTATTGTTGTTTATTTGGTGCTCTTTTGACTTTCAGATGTGTTTTCAAATTTGAGAATCCAGTAAATGCATGCGTACATATGTTGAAAGTATTCCACATGATTTCTTCTCGAAGAATTTTCGCGATAATATTTTCTTTTCAGATTTGCTGATGATTGCAACACCTTCTAATTTCTTTTTCTTTGCATTTAGAAGTATCTTGCTGAGCTGAGGTATGGAAACGGAAAGCACTATGGTTAACATCCACATTGAATAGCGGTGAAAAGAAACAGGATTTCACAATCGGATGCTGAATCTGAACACCAGGTTTTGAATAACTGGTGTCTTTTTCGCAACGCATTCACACCCTCACAGCACTTCGACATTTGGAGATGACTGAACTTCCAAATTTAGTGTCATTTGCAGAAGGCGGTTTACCTTGTTAATCAAAGTGTATTAGTCTTAGTCAGCATTAGAAGTCAGAGTTGTTACAATCAGTTCAGACAGCTGTAAAGCCCATGTGCTCATCACGTGGGTTAGTTAGTGAGAATACTTAGCACTTAAGCTAAGTCTATAGTATATAAACAATAGCTTAAGCTTGTACTCATTCAATGAATGAATTGAAACCTCTGTATTTCATTCTCTCTATTCTTCTTGAACTTTCTCTAAGCTTTCTTCTTCATTCTCATTCTATTATCAAACCTCCCAACCTCAATATTTCTGCATTCATAATTGTGACAGACTGAGGGCTTCAGTGGGAGAGTACTGGGGTTTGCAAGACCTTGTCTCCCTTAAAACACTTTAAAATTGGTGGCAGGGGAAGTGATGATATGTTGGAGACATTGCTCAAGGAACAGCTGCTCCCTTCCAATCTTCACTCTCTTCGCATCTGGGGACTTTCAAGCCTGAAATATTTGGACAGAAAGGGACTTGGACACCTCACTTCTCTTCAAAAGCTATATATTAGTGAATGTGACAGTATCCAATTCACTTCTCTCCAACTTTTATGGCCTGGAGAAGCGGTATGAGAATAAGATGGGACAAGATCGGGCCAACATATCTCACATTCCTTGCCTCGACATAAATGATCGAGTCATCATATGATATGACTCATGAGAGACAAACAATGTATTGCTTTTCAATATTTCACTCTCAACTCTCAAATCAAACAAAGGTATGTACATCAAATAACTGCTTTAACTGGTTTTCTTCTAATTGAATCCAACACCCAAAATACATATTATATTTCTGTACCCAACTTAAATGTCCAAGTAAATCAAAATACACATTTTAAACTATTTTTATGTCACCACATTTGGAAAGGGATTTGCCATTGATTTTGATTTAATGCTGCTTCCCAGATTTATGTTCTTCATTTCTAGCTTATAATTACATTCTGACTGTCAATTTCAGTTTTCTGATCATAATCATTTTCAAGAAAAACTATTTGTGCTTAACACAAACACTCAATCTGATTTCCGTTATTTTTCTCTGTAAAGTGTCGTTCTATTTACTTTATTTCTCATTGATGGTTGTTCAGCTAACCATAACTTATATCCTATTTAAGTTGAAAATGCTGAATAATTAGTGTTCTGTTTTCAGGACAACATGCCTTCTCTTCGAGAGCTTTTCATTTGCAAGGCCTTCTTTGTATGTCGTTTCCAAAAGATGGTTTACCATTGTATATAGCCTTTTGTTTTTCTACAAAAACAGTTGACACATTCCTACATACAGCACGGAGTGTACAGCATTTTTGGTCTAGCTTATCCAGTAGAGACTGCCATGTACATACATACCAAAAGATTTTGTTCAACTGAAAAGGAACTGAGTTCAGAATAGAAAATGCGATCCAGAGCATATTGGTTGATTTTATATGACTCTTTAGATTAATAGTAGTATCAACTGGGGCTTTTATGACTCTATTATGTAATTAATTATTCTCTTTTTGTTTCTGTAATGTTAAAAGGCGATGCGATTTATTGGCAGCCCAACAAAGGAACCAACACCTGTCTAATTTCTCCTTTTTAACCTAAACCCAAACAACGATCTCTTCCTAGGGCAACCAGGAACCCACGCCAGCACACTTTTACTTAGTGGCGGATCCACATAGGGGTAAGAGGGGTCAATTGACCCCTACAAGCCCGGAATCCATCATTGGAGGTGAAGATGTTGACTCCTGTAAATTGCCACAAATTGCTTGATGAAATACTCCAGAGGGCGCAACACACTTGCACAGCAAGCAGTACAGATTACCTTATTTCCATTTTCAACATTTAAGTAAATGTATGTCCTTTTACTTTCATTTGGATGAGATTTTCTATTTAAACCCCGCACTTCTCTTTGTTCACCCCAATACTTAAATGATTAAGCTGTAAGTTTTATTATTGTGTAAAAAGACAAAAAAAGTCATCCAACTTAATAATTAACTCAGTACATCTATACACACACCTCACACCCCACCACTCTTCATATCAAGTTTTAGAAAAATACAAACTCCTCTACATCATATTGTCAGATTACTCTTCTCTTTTAAAAACATAGAAAATTGACGAACCTACCTCTTTAAATATACGTGGGAGTTGATGAAAAGGCTTGTTCATTATCAACTCAACAATACCCAAGTGTTGGAATTCCAGTTACAGTTCTTGGAGAGATGTAAAGTTGTTCTCTTTCTCTAGAAAGTATTAAATTTCAGATTTAGGGTTCTATTTGTTTGTGTTTTTTTTTGTTGGGAACAAAGAAAATTATGGGGTTTAAATAGAAAATCTCTTTTATTTCTTATTTTTTCAGTTTGGGGTGTATTTAAGGGTAGTTTGGGAAGATAGTGGGGTTTTCTTAGAAATTGTGAAAATTTAAATTAAAAATGGGGTGAACTTAGAACATGGGGTGAACTAAGAGAAGTGTGGGGTTTAAATAAAAAATATCTTTATTTTTATATTACTTCATTTACTTAAGTTTATAATGTAAATGAGGAAGTACCTGCAATTTGGATTCAAATAAAAATACTAGAAAATCAAATTCCCTCCAAATCAAAATATGAAAAATCGGTTTTAGTGCAAAATACGATTTAGGCTAAAAAAGATGGCTCATTAAGTCAATATATACTTCATACTAAAATCCCATAAAATCAAGTTTTCTTATTTAATGTGTAAGGAATAAAAGCCGCCAAAAATTATCTTGAGAAAATGATTATTCCAAAAAACCATTTTTCATACTTAGCCAATATTTTTACATAAAACAATTTTTCATATATGATATGAAAGCATGAAGGGACCTAAGGTCGATCTAGGTAAAAAGCCTTAGATATTCAATCCACAAAGAGTTTTATAAGAATAACCTAACTCTTACGTATCGTAGAAATATTTGCTTGAATAAGCTCCTCATAAGACAATACTCATAAATGTCCAAATTTGATAGCTAGAGCCCAAACTAAATGCAAATAAAGCCCAAAATTAAAACGGCGAAGGACCTCAAAAATGACATAAATGCCCTAAAATGAGCCGGATTGCGCTAATATATACCAGCTTTTAAGTTGAATAGGACGAGAAGCCTTGGAAGGAGAAGAGGATTGCGCTAATTTTTTGGTTTATTATCACATTCTTAGAGATACTTCTGGTTTATTGCAGTGTGTTTATTTTTTGAAGTTGATGCAGTTTTCTTTGATAATGAACATGAGTATTTTGTATGGTTTTATCTATGAACTATGAATTAGAATATTATCGTTTTATTTCGATGGGTCTATTTTGTATAGAATTTTTTAAAAACCTTTTACATGTTGACCCCTAAATTCATGATCCGCCACTGCTTTTACTCTCAAATTTCAAGTTTCAATCACCTTACAAACCCAAATTCCTTCCCACACCAACGAACGACCCCACACCTCTCGCTGCTTTAATTTTTGGGTCTTATATACCCCAAATCAGTTTACTACTCTTTGTTCTTCAGTACCGGAATTGATATTTATCACTGCTTGAAGTCGTATTCTCTCACAAAAGTGGTAGTTTACGAGATTTGTGAGAGGTTTTACGACTACTCCCAGAGTATGATAGTTCCGTTTTTAGGATTGAGCGAGTTTTGGATCGATTTCTTTCAGTCATCAAATGCCAGCCGCTAGATTCAATTTATTCTATGTTCTTTCAGAGTATGATAGTTCCGTATTTGGGTTGCTGGGCCACACTGCATGTGCACAAATTATTCAATGTGCTTTGCCAATTGGCAAATTACTTAATCCAAATTGGTCGATGATGGTTGATGATGGACAGACCAATCCACAGTAGCTTACGTAGCACACAACATGCACGTGTTGACCCAATTGTCTTAATTAGGAATGTCAATGGCCAAATCACATTTATTAATTTGGTGATTATTTTTTTGTTCGAAATTAATTTGGTGATTAAGCTAAGGATGATATTCCTTCTCATCCTAAAGTGGAATATTATACCTCTTCCTTCAAAAGGCTGAAGAAGTATATTAATTCGTCCAAACAAAAAACCGGGAATATTATATTACAATAACGCTACGGGCACCAACTTGTTTACCAATTTTTGGATACCAACACATGTGTGGCACATGACATGGCAACCCATGTCATTTGCCGCTTAATGCTATGGTAGAACGTATCTGCATATATTCATGTCTATTTGTATATGAATCACTGTCTATTATATGCTCAAGTACGTACCTATCGACGACGTTATCGTGGTTGTGTAGAATGGTGCGATTACAGCTTCGATTCTTCAATAGGACTGCTAAATTTCTACGGTTTTTCAGAGAGGAAGAAGGAGGTTTAACGCTAAACCACAAAGGCTCGGTGCTTTGAATTTGAGAAGTTTCAACTAGTGGTGGTTGAAAGGGAGAATGCTGAATGCTTTGACTGGAATTGTCAACTATAGTTACAATACGAAAAACCCACATCCACGACACTTGCACCTAGATTATCTTGCAAACATATATTTTGGCTTGAATTCTGACTTTGATTCCCATACTGATATCCACCTTGACTGGCATCCTGAGAGATATATTGGCTATCATGGAGGACTGTTGAATTTCTTTGGGGGGAGGGGGACCATAAATATTAAATGGTTGGGTTTCTTTTTTAATTTTTGCGGTGTGAAATTCTTTTATTTATACAACAGATTATGTAATTAAAATAGATGAGATGGCAGATGACATGGTTTGCCATGTCATGTGCCCAGAAGCGGAGCCACAGTGGGGTCGCACGACCTCTTGGAAGCCATGGAAATAAGCTTAGAGGTCCCTTGGAGCTGCACACCAAGTGGTTGACAAAATGTCTGAAAGAACCAAGGGTTGGCCAGCTGAAGAAGAAGGCTGCGCGGGGGCTTCTTTTTTTTAAAACAGCCTGGGCAAAACGACGTCTTTTTGGCCCAGGGAATTTTTTTTAAATGACCTAGCCAAAACGACGTCGTTTTGGGCCAGGTCTGAAAAAATAAAAAAAAACAAACAAACAAACAGGCCAGCGTATCCCTCTCTTCACAAACCCGATTCCTCCATTCTAAAATCTCAATATTTTGTTTATATTGTGAGTTTTTATTTTCATTATTTTGTATATGTAGAATATATTTAATTTAATTGAAATCCAATTCATATTTATTTTGATTATATTGATATTTTGTTTATATTGTGAGTTTTTATTTTCATTATTTTGTATATGTAGAATATATTTAATTTAATTGAAATCCAATTCATATTTATTTTGATTATATTGATATTTTGTTTATATTGTGAGTTTTTATTTTCATTATTTTGTATATGTAGAATATATTTAATTTAATTGAAATCCAATTCATATTTATTTTGATTATATTGATATTTTGTTTATATTGTGAGTTTTTATTTTCATTATTTTGTATATGTAGAATATATTTAATTTAATTGAAATCCAATTCATATTTATTTTGATTATATTGATATTTTGTTTATATTGTGAGTTTTTATTTTCATTATTTTGTATATGTAGAATATATTTAATTTAATTGAAATCCAATTCATATTTATTTTGATTATATTGATATTTTGTTTATATTGTGAGTTTTTATTTTCATTATTTTGTATATGTAGAATATATTTAATTTAATTGAAATCCAATTCATTATTATTTTGATTATGTTGATGGTTTGTTTATATTGTGAGTATTTATTTTGATTATTTTGTATATGTAGAGTTATTATGGAACAGTTTTTTAAGAGAAAGTCATCATCGGGTTCGGGTAGTTCAAATAATGTTGATAGTTCAAATACAGTTCAAGAACTCCAAGTTCAAGACAAAGTCAGTTAGATGGTGTTTTGGGTAATCTTCAAGCGGACCCTGGATTAAGAACTCGAATGATAGATTATGGTGCTAATATGAGAGATGAGGTTCGAAGATCATATCTACAAAAAGGACCTTGTCAACCTAGAGGTCATAATTTTCCAATAACTAATATGTCAGGAATAAATCGACGCTTCATTCCCCAATGGTTTGATGAGTTTTATTGGTTGGAGTATAGTATATCTAAAGATGCGGCATTTTGTCTCTATTGCTATCTTTTTAAAACCAATTTTGAACAAGTGGGTAGTGAAGCTTTCACTGGAGATGGATTTAAGAATTGGAAGAAAGGGAGAGAAATATTTAAGATGCATGTTGGACTGGTTGGGAGTGTTCATAATAAAACTAGAGAAGCTGCTACAAATTTGATGAATCAAAATACACATATTGAGACGGCAGTGAGCAAACACTCCGACCAAGCTCGTAAGGCTTATCGCACATGCTTGATTGCATCAATCAAGTGCACTAAGTTTTTATTGCGACAAGGTCTTGCTTTTCGTGGCCATGATGAAAGTGCCACTTCAAGCAATAGGGGAAATTACTTGGAGCCATTGCAATTCCTTGTAGATAATACTGATAAAGTTAGAGAAGTTGTGATGGAAAATGCTCCGGGGAATCTCAAATTACTAGCTCCTTGCATTCAAAAAGATCTTATGAATGCATGTGCCCTTGAAACACTTGATTCTATCATGGATGGTCTAAAAGATAGATTCTTTTCAATATTGGTGGATGAGGCACGTGATGTGTCGGTGAAAGAGCAAATGGCTATGATGTTGCGTTATGTGGATGACAGAGGGCATGTAATTGAAAGATTTATGGGTATCCAACATGTTACCGACACTACTTCAAGTTCACTAAAGGATGCTATTGACACAGGTGTGAGCATTTCCAAGCTACGGGGACAAGGTTATGATGGTGCTAGCAATATGAGAGGTGAGTTGAATGGCCTTAAAACAAAGATATTGAGAGAACAACCTTGTGCATATTATGTTCATTGCTTTGCTCATCAACTTCAACTAGCTCTTGTTTCCGTGGCAAAGAAAAATATAGACATTGCCTCCTTTTTTGCAACGGCTAATAGTGTGGTTAATCATGTTGGAGCATCTTGTAAGTGGCGTGATTTACTTAGAGGGCAACTTCAAGAAGAGCTTGTGATAGCTTTTGAAAATGATTGTCTTATGTAGGCCTGGGCACGGTTCGGGTCGGGTCCAGATTTGGCCGACCCGTGGAGCTGAACCGATGGTGACTTCGGTTCTCGGATCGGGGCGGGGCCCGGGGAAAACC